CATTTGAAATATATGAGTTTGTATGTAATGTATGAATATAATATACAAGTTTCCATTTTTAAATGGAATTACTGAAATAAATCTACTTTTTCATGATATTCTAATTTTATGACCAGCACCTGTATGTTTTTATTAACCATCTTTAATGGCCGACCTGGATTTTCCATTGTGAAAAATGAAAACTCTAAATCAACATAGCTCCTAAACTATACATCCGACAGACACCATTCACCCCATTTTATTTTTGTCTTTTCATGGGTAATTTGTTGAAAAAGAGATTCCTATGATTATATCATGCTTGATGCATAATAGCTGGAGTAAGCACAAAAAATGCTAAAATTAGCCTAAACTGAATTGTAGGAACTTCTCCCTGTACACCCTATTGATATTTTTTTCAAAGCTTTGTATAATTATAATCTTCAACATGCATAGTAAACACAAGTTGATGCTATTCACTTGAAATTTTGTTTATTGTGCCATTTTGGTTGCCAACCTGGATTTCCACAAATGCAAAAAAAGAGAATGTAAAATCAACATAGCTCCTAAACTATACAACCAACAGACACCATTCACTCCATTTTATTTTTGTCTTTTCATGGATAATTTGTTGAAAAAGAGATTCCTATGACTATATCATGTTTGATCCATAATAGCTGGAGTAAGCACAAAAAATGCTAAAATTAGCCTAAACTGAATCATAGGAACTTCTCCCTGTACACCCTATTGATATTTTTTTCAAAGCTTTGTATATTTATAATCTTCAACATGCATAGTAAACACAAGTTGATGATAAATGGAAAAAGTTTGTAAAATCAATAGTCGTGCATTCACAATGGCATTTCCATGGCAATTTCAGCTTTTCTTGATGACTTGTCAAGTTGGCCCACTTTCATGCACGGCAATTGTGATAATTTCTAACTATGAAATGGTTTAAAGCTTACAATTTTTTTTACTTCAAAACAACTTGCCAGGATTTGATTTTGTCAGCAATCTTGGATGTCGACACACATTTGCAAATTTACAAGCTAGCATTAGCACTGGTTCTAAGCACAAACTATCAAATTCTAAACTTAACCCTTTAAATTATTCTGGCAATTTGTTGTAGGCATTGGCATGAGGGTTTAGACGGTTATTTAATTTTCATCAGTTTGAAATCTTGAAAAATAAGGGACGTTAAAAGTTTCTACAAACATAGGCTGATTGTTGCTAATAATGCCAAAGAAACACAAGAAAGAAAATAATGTTGAGTATAAACAGTTTGATCCAGCAAAAAAGAAATCCAGGAGAGATGAGGTTTTTTATTCTCTCAGTCCACAAATTATTACTGGTGAGGGCAACGACGTGTTTCATCTTGAATGGGACAATCTGAACAAAATAACTACAAACATCCATGGCTCCATTGTGGTTAACTGGACTAGTGGGATCATGATACAGGAGGTGAAAACTGGATTTGATGTTCCCAACTCTCTGGAAAATCAAATACATTTTCCTCTCTCTGAACGAAAAAAGACACGCTCTTTGAAGGTAGATACACCTGAAACCCTAAACCACTTCTGTATCTATAACCGAACTGGACCCAAGTTGAGGATGGCTGTGGTGTAGTGGTAGAGCTGACTTAGGACCAGAAAGTCAGAGGTTCGACTCCCCGCCATACCCACATATGGTGGTGTCCTTGAGCAAGACACCCAACCCCCAACTGCTCCCCAGGCACTCACATTCAGTAGCTGCCTGCTGCTCCACTTGGGTGTTTCTCATGTGTGATGGGTCAAATGCAGAAAACAAATTTCATTCTTGCATGTGAACATGAATTGATGACAAAAGCAACTTTACCTGAAGGAGCAGTATTTTTATCTACAAACAACAAAGTCTACTCAAACTGCATCCAAGAGTATTGTGTCTGGTTACTTATCCAAGTGGTGGGGAGTAGTGGATTAAAGCAACTTGTTGCAGGGTTTGCTGGCTTTGTATCAGCTGCTGGTGACAAACCCCCTGAAGATCTACCATTGACTACTTCACCCCAAACAACCAGCATTTCACTGAGTACTCAGTCATGATACAGGAGGTGAAAACTGGATTCCTCCATGCAGACCTCCTCTAGAGCATGATGGGGGCTGTTGCTGGGCGACACAAACTTTCAACTCCCTCCATAGGTTTTCTATGGGGTGGAGATCTGGAGACTGGCTAGGTCACTCCAGAACCTTGAAATGCTTCTTACCAAGCCACTCCTTCGTTGCCCTGGCTGTGTGCTTGGGATAGTTGTCAAAGTGAAAGACCCAGCCACATTTCATCTTCAATGCTCTTACTGATGGAAGGAGGTTTGCATGCAGAATCTCATGATATATAAATATGGCCCCATTCATTCTTTCATGTACTTGGATCAGTGGTCCTGGTCCCTTTGCAGAAAAACAGTCCCAAAGCATAAAGCTGCCATCCCCATGCTTCACAGTCGGTATGGTGTTCTTTAGATGCAACTCAGCATTCACTCTTCTCTAAACGAGTTGTTTCTACCAAACAGTTCTACTTTGGTTTCATTTGACCATATGACTTTCTCCCAGTACGCCCCAGGAACATCCACATGCTCTGTAGCAAACTTCAGACGGGCCTGGATATGTTACTGGCTTAAGCAGGGGGGCATGTCTGGCACTGCAGGATCTGAATCCCTGGTGGTGTAGTGTGTTACTGATGGTAGCCTTTGTTACATTAGTCCCAGCCTTCTGCAGGTCATTCGCCAGGACCCCCATTTGGTTCTGGGATTTTTGCTCACCATTCTTGTGATCATTTTGACCCCACAGGGTGAGATATTGCATGGAGCCTCTGATCAAGGGAGATTATTAGTGGCCTTGTAAGTATTACATTTTCTAATTATTGCTCCCACAGCTGATTTCTTCACTCCAAGCTGCTTTCCTATTGCAAATTCAGTCTTCCCAACCTGGTGCAGGACTACAATTTTGTTTCTGGTGTCTTACATTGCTCTTTGGTCTTCGAGTGTGACCATTTAAGGTTGAGAACAGGTGTCTTTTAAACTGATAAGTTCAAACAGGTGCCATTACTACAGGTAATATGTGGAGGACAGAGCTCTTAAAGAATTTACAGATTTGTTATTCATCAAATACTTATTTTCCACCATAATTTGCAAATAAATTCTTAAAAAAATCAGACAATGTGATTTTCTAGATATGTTTTCTCATTTTGTCTCTCATAGTTGAGGTCCAACTATGATGTCAATTATAGGCCTCTCTCATCTTTTTAAGACAGAGAACTTGCACAATTGGTGGTTGACTAAATACTTTTTCCCCACTGTATGTTTAACTCATCTTTAAGCCTTACTATCTACATAGACATTGGGACCGGGAAGCACAGGAGAATCATAACTGTCAGCAACCTGGCCAAATCCGGGGTGGGGGTGGGGGGAGGGTGTGTGTGATTGGGCCTCTAAAAAAGCTGCAGAGATATCCCAAGTACCATGCAGTTTTCAGATTAATTTTTTTATTCAGATTTATAGAAGCATGTCATGGCAATAAGTCCATGGTGCCCCTATGTATTGATGCAATATGACTGCGATAATATAATTATTTATCTCCTCAGAAAACTTGGTGAGGAGTGGTCTGTGGAACCAGAAGTGTTCAAGCACATCAAGGCCTTCACATGTCAGGAGAAATCTGTGAACAGCGTAAGAAGCATCATGCTCCGAAAGATGATCTGGGAGGATGAGACCATCACCACAAAATAGAAGGTGGACCTCTTGTGGCTGCCACCCAACAAAGAGAACTTGGTTCCACATGTCAATAAAGTCAACCCCCATCTGGCCATATTAACATACTACGATCCTAGCCAGAGCCGGGTGAAGATGGTACCCTAGTGCCAGTGTGGTCATATGGCCCAATCTGCCCTACTACGCTGATTGACTTGCTGGGGGAAATAGTAGAGGATAGATGAGGAAGACATTGGAGAGCAAGATATCGATTATGAAGACCTTCTAATTGATGAATAAATAATTTTGCTGTGGTTTTCTTTTCTCCAAGGCCCAATTACCCCTATTTTTCCTACATTTTTCCATTTATTTGGGTGACAATGCTTCATAAATTTTCCAGTCATGTCACTACCCAATACCCATCTCCATTAATCCCTCATGCCAAAATGGAACCCAAACTGGGGTCATTTGCCTCTGCACAATGTCTAGTTAAGTCAATATGTTGATTTTATGTTCTCTTTTTTGCACTTGTGGAAATCCAGGATGGCAAACAAAATGGCACAATAAACATACATGTGACAACATTTCAAGTGGATATGGTCAACTTGTGTTTACTATGCATGTTGAAGATTATAAAAGTCCAAAGCTTTGAAAAAAATATCAATATGGTGTACAGGGGAGTAGTTCCTGCGATTCAGTTTAGACAAATTTTAGCATTTTTTGTGTTTACTTCAGCTATTATGCATCAAACATGATATAATCATAGGAATCTCTTTTTCAACAAATTACCCATGAAAAGACAAAAATAAAATGGAGTGAATGGTGTCTGTTGGTTGTATAGTTTAGGAGCTATGTTGATTTTACATTCTCTTTTTTTGCTTTTGTGGAAATCCAGGTCGGCAACCAAAATGGCACAATAAACATACATGTGACAAAATTTCAAGTGAATATCATCAACTTGTGTTTACTATGCATGTTGAAGATTATAAATATACAAAGCTTTGAAAAAAATATCAATAGGGTGTACAGGGAGAAGTTCCTACAATTCAGTTTAGGCTAATTTTAGCATTTTTTGTGCTTACTCCAGCTATTATGCATCAATCATGATATAATCATAGGAATCTCTTTTTCAACAAATTACCCATGAAAAGACAAAAATAAAATGGGGTGAATGGTGTCTGTCAGATGTATAGTTTAGGAGCTACGTTGATTTAGAGTTTTCATTTTTCACAATGGAAAATCCAGGTCGGCCATTAAAGATGGTTAATAAAAACATATATGGGACAATAATTTGCTTTGGGGCCATCACAATCCATTTACTAGACACCTTAAGGATTACAAAAAGTTAGGTTAAAATATATCTTTCAGGTGCATGGGACCCCCACCCTCCTACTAGACTACTAGTGTCCTGCTGGATAAATAAAATTGTTTACCTTGGAGGACCTCCATGGGCAGGACAATCCAGGCATTCTCAAGATATGAGATGTACAGGTAACGAGCCGTGTTACAGGCCAATCCGATGTATAGAACTCTGAGGGATCAGACAGTTCAGTGTCACACCAGGAAATTTTAAAACAAATATTTTCTGTACAACATATGAAATATTATAGTAATCATTTAATGAAGTTCACTTAAAGACTTGTTAGATATTGATTTTAATCAACTGATTTTAAAATGTTTTTTGTTTATTTATGCAGAGACAATGTACAACATTTCATTAACCTTTCACAAGGAGAGATGCATGGTACCAGGTTATAGCAAAAAAATGATCATTTCCACCTGCAGTCCCTGAAAGGGTTGATTTGATCCAATGTGATTAAACATATGATAAAAAGCCAGTTTAGTATATGATTACTAAACTGTATACTGTATACAACTTTAGTATATGATTACATACGTATTTAAAAAAGTCAGATACTCAGATCTCATTAAAACCAAACTACAAAGTAAAACAAATTAATAAAACAAATTCATACAACATTCTCCTTGCTTTCATCATGTATGAGTACAAACCTGCTTATTTAACAACCAAATGTGCAAACATTTTATAAGTGGAACATGTTATAATGTTCTTTGGCAAGCTATTCCATTGATTTGTGGAGACAAAGGAGAAAGCCCGACATCCCTGTCGGGCTTTGGCCTGGAGGGGGTGCGTCCTGGGGGCTCGGACCTCTGTGCCCTTTCCTGGATCTGCTCTGGTATGGCGGGTGCCGGTGGGGCCCATGAGTTTGTCGCTGCTGGCCCCGGGGGCTGTGCGTGTGGTCACTGGGGGGACTCTCCCAGTTCTCCCCTATGGTCTGATCTAGGGGTGGGTGGGCGGATCTTCTCGTCCGGGTGCCCCTTGGGGCTCTGCGCTCGGGATCCCTTTCGGGCCCTTGGGCTCTGGTCTTCCCTATGTCTGCCTCGTGTCTTGGGGGTTGGGTCTTCAGTCCTCCACAGTCACTATTAAATATTCCATTGGAGAAATCTTGTATACACACGCATGTTCACAACTGCTCACAGACAGGTGCTCTGATCCGGGGGGTTCTGACTGGTCAATGAGTGTGTGTATATATGTCTGTGTGTATACTGACAATATTTATGAATGTAGGCATGTATGTATGTATATCTTTATATATGCATGGGTATGTGTATATACAGTATTTATATATGCCCTCCATGTATTTATCCATTTATTTTTCAGGTGAGCGGACAGATGTTGGGTGTGTGGTCCTGTGTTTTGTTGGTGTATATTTAATATACTTCTAATCGCTATTTCAATCTTTCTAATTACTTCTCTCTGTCTCTATTTTCTCTTCACTTAAAAAAGTCACTGATGATGAAGAAATAAATAAACTAAATAAACTAATATTTAGTTTAGTTTTCTACTGAAGTGACTCAAAAAAAAACCAGTTCTACATTTTGGGATACTGCACTCATCTCTAGCTGTCGCCCTTGTGACTCTAGTCATGTTTTCTGATCTCAAAGAGACAAACTCTCTTAAAGGGATCCCCGACTAGTTGTAACATTAGACTTTATTTGATAAACATATATTTTAACCATAAAATAAAGACTGTAAAAATACTGTAGCCTGTTTAGTTTTGTAAATTTTTAAAAATATATTTTAACACGGATGGAGCCATTTTATTTACACGCAAAGCATTCTGGGTAAATGATGATGTCAATTAGGTCATCGGTGCGAGGTTGCTAGCGAGCTATATCCACCCTGAAAGTTAATCTTGGACAATATCTGACGACTGGCTCTTTTAAATGAAACCAGAGAGCATTGACAGAGACAAGGTAGAAATGACTCAGCCTGTAATGGAAAATTTGGATGGAGGACAACAGAGCTGCTTCATGGAAGAAGAACCTCAGCTTAGCCCAGGGGTGCCCAACCAAGTGAAACCTTGCTGCGGAGCCTCAGCGCCGGCTCTGAGCATCGGATCCCGAAGTGGCTGGTATTGTGTCAAAGCTCTGGTGCTGCCCTACAATGTGAAAGTTGAATGAAGTCCCTGCGACGTTCCCCCATGGAGATATAAGCAAATTACGCATGACTTAGCGCATTTTACGGGCATTTTTGGGAGGAAATTTCAACTTTCGTTTGCTTTTCCCGCGGGCTCTGAGCATCGGATCCGGGAAAGTGAGATGACTTTGGAAAGCTGTGGTCCTCCTCTACAAACAGGAGGTGGATGCAAGTTCCTGGGATGTCCTCCCGCGGAGCTATTAACCAACAACCGGCCGAAAAAGGCGCTTTGGCGGGGGATATAGTACTCAATTTACTACGGAGCCTCTAGTGTTGGATCCGGGCGGGAGATGACTCATTTTAATGTTCTGGATACCGGCTACAACCTAAAGGTGGTTGCAAGTTCCTGGGACGTTCTTCCGCGGAGAAATAAATGATCAAAAGTCGTCGGGCAAGCTCCAGTGGGTGAAACGGCTGATTTCCAGCACGGGGCTGCTTGTGCAGGGGAATAAAAGGAAGAGATCCAGTGGTTTGGAACCACGGTCATGCGTCCAGCACCTGCTCTCCCGCCTGGATTTAGCCAGAAACCTCTGGCGGGCGATATTTCTGCAATAATGCGTAAAATTCAGAAACCCACCTGATGGATCACTTCCAGGCAATAAAAGAAACAGATCTGGTCAGGTGAAACCGGTCCTGGAAGCTCAGCACTGGGTTTTATAACAGCCTGCGAGAGAGTTTTATATTGTGTGCTTTGACTTTGAAAAAAAGGGCAGTGCTCTTGTGGTAGCCATGTTGACCCTTATAGTTTTTTTGTTGTTTTGTTTTTCCTCCCCTGTATGGAGAGAAGAGAGGAGAGTTCTTTGAATAAATGGAGACGAGTTCCCGTGCTCCAAAGTTATTTGACTCTGTGGTTCTTGCACTGGAAAGGGTTTCCAGCCCTCATAGCTCGCACGTTACAGTGAGTACTAATTGAAGGAAATTTTAAAAAATGGTACTTTTTATTCAAGCATCAATTTTCAGTTTCTCTGTCATGAGTTAAGCAAGGATTTTATCTTTTCTTTTTTTTGTAGGTAAATATATGGTTAAGTAGATCATTTTGTTTGACAATACTTTAAATTAAATAAAACTAGCAACACATTATGTTCTGTTTTATTTCCTTTAAAGAAGTGAGGAGTAGGGAGACCATATTATGTTTTTTGATACTGAGACTGGACGAGTAGCTCTCGGCAAATTGCCGACTTCAAAAGTTCAAAAAAGGTTGGGCACCCCTGGCTTAGCCTGTTAGCCTTTGCGCTAGCGCTGACGCTATATTGACTTATGTGTATTAGCTCGGCGCTAGCGCGACAAACAAGCTAAACTGAGGTCCTCCATCCATATTTTCAGTTGCAGGCTGAGTCATTTCTACCTTCTCCTCTGTCAACGCTCTCTGGTTTCATTTAAAAGAGCCGATCATCAGATATTGTCCAAGATTAACCTTCAGGGTGGATATAGCTCTCTAGCAGCCTCGCACCGATGACCTAGTTGACATCATTTAACAAAAAGGCTTTACGTTTAAATAAAATGGCCCCATCTGTGTAATATGTTTTTAAATTTTTAGTTTAAAAATGATAAAAACTTAACAGCCTATAGTATTTTTACAGTCTTTATTTTACAGTTACAATATATGTTTATCAAATAAAGTCTAATGTTACAACTAATCAGGGATCCCTTTAAAGGTGGAGCAGCAATTATATGACAAATTTTGTAAACTAAACAAATGTTTACATAAAATATCAGACGTTCCAAGTTTAAAAAATCCTATTTAGAAAGAATATGACAATGATTATATTGTCTAGATTTCTTGTCATGAATCTTTAAAGCACTTTTATATATTGATTCAAGAGGTTTCAAAGTTGTTTTGCATGCATGTGACCAACTACACATACAATATGAAAAAACGTTTAAAAAGTTATAGAATTTAGGTAAATATGGGAAGCCTAATGGTGCGTTCACACCAAACGCGATTTCAGCTTCAAAATCGCATCCAACGCTTCAAGTTGGACGCTTGTGCACTTTGAGGTCAGACGCAGGTCAGCTCTTGAAGCATGGCAAGAGCCTCCCCGCCCCTCCCTCCTCTGTCG